CTGAACGTGTTTGAGATGCTGGTGATCCCAGAGCAGGAGTATCCCATGGTGTGTGTGGCCATCTCCAAGGGCTCAGAGCCAAACCAGGTGGTGCAGTTTGAGACAATCAACCTGAACTCTGCGTCCTCGTGGTTCACAGAGATCGGGGCAGGTGAGGCCCTTGGTCACTCTTCCAGCTGGTTTGATGGCTGGGAATGTTGGATCTTCCTTCCTTGGAGCTGTTTGGAAACCCTTTAGGCTTGGCAGTTTCTCTGCCTGAAGCTGATCCCACATGGGGAGGGACTGGGGACAAGGGCTGGAGGGACAGGAGCCAGGGAATGGCTCCCAGTGCCAGAGGGCAGGGATGGATGGGAGATTGGGAATTGGGAATTGCTGGCTGGGCTGGAATTGCCAGAGCAGCTGTGGCTGCCCCTGGATCCCTGGCAGTGCCCAAGGCCAGGCTGGACATTGGGGCTGGAGCAGCCTGGGACAGTGGGAGGTGTCCCTGTCCATCCAGGGGGGTGGGATGGGGTGCGATGGGATGGGATGGGATGGGATTTAAGGTAATTTCCAATCCCCGCTATTCTGGGATTCCCTCATTCTCTGTCATGCTCACATCAGTACAAACTGTCCTTAAAAATCACCTTCAATTTTCTATATTTCCTTAAGCACCAGTCAGAGCCTGCTGGTTGGGTTCTCCTGCTCTTTCCTTTCCTTTCCTCCATAAAAACTCCCAGAAATGGGTTCTTGTCCCTCCTCCAGCCCTTGGGGCAGGGTTGTTATCTTCAGCTGGCTCTTAAAAAGCAAAGATTTGGGTTATTTTTAAGACCTGGTTGATACTTTGCAGCTGCTTTTCTCCTTTGCCTTTGTTGGATGTACATTTTTACCTTTAAACACTGCTTTTTAGCAGCTGTAGGAACTAACTTCATTAGTAAAAACTAGGAAAAAAAATCTATTAAACCAGTTTATTATCATCACAATAATCTTTCCAGATGTGGTTTTATGGGAAAAGAGTGGAGGTTTAGGAATTAAAAGTCCTTTTGTTTACTGTGGGGCCTCTCTACAGAGGAAGCTGTACTGAACCATAGCATAAAATGTGTTTTCTCCAGTAAAAGTTGTGTTTTCCTATTAAATACCTGCTTTGACCAGAGAGTTTTGTCCTTCTCCCAAAACATACTGGGCTTTTAGAGCCTTTAAAAATCAGAGTAACAAAAAGAAAATAAAAATTAAAATCAGAGTAACAAAGAACACAGTGCAAAGAGCTTGGAGGGGAGAGGGGCAGAGTCTCTTGATGTGATATAAAATATAAAATATAAAATAATCTGGTTTTTTCCCCAGGCAATCAGCAGTTGGATGCCATTCACGTGACACAGCTGGAGAGAGACACTGTCCTGGTCTGCCTGGACAGTGAGTAACACAAAACTCTTGGATAATTCACTACACCTCGTGCAAAACTTGAGCTGCCAAGTTGATTTGAACTTCACCACGAGTTTTTTTGGGTTTTTTTTACCTCCCTACATTACTAATTTGTGTTGTAATATTTCCAAAAAGATAGTTTGGATAAGTGGGATTTCATTCTGGCTTTTTTAATTCCATTTTCCCTCTTCATGTGTGCATCACTGTGTCAGTCTAAAAACCACAGCAAGTGGCACAAAGTTTCCTGTATTTATTTGGAGAGAAAGATGCTCTTGTGTTCATTTTAGGCAAATGCTGTAGATATTAAGTTTTGGTATTTCTTTGTTCCTGAAAGATTAAATTTATATTTTACATTTAAATCCTTTTCCACAGAGGGTTTTAACGCTGATTTTTCTCTTTCTCTTGAGAATTTGTGAAAATAGTGAATTTACAAGGGAAATTGAAGTCAAGCAAGAAATTGGCTTCTGAGCTGAGCTTTGATTTCTGCATCGAGTCAGTGGGTGAGTGATTTGCTGCTCTGGTGTCTCTCAGGGGTTTAAGAACTCACTGTTGAAAGCCTGACTGGTTTCTGGTTATTTCCATAGCAATGAGAACAAAATTTGGGCGGGAAAAAGTGGTTTGGTAATACATAAATCTGTGTTAGCCTTCTAAAAGTTAAGATTTTATTTGCAGTAATAGCACATCCATTTTTTTAATAGGGTAATAATATTTGAATCTAATTCTCAAGCTGCTATCTTTAGACTCAGACAGGAGTTTTTTTAAAATTTGAATTGTAGCTGTCAAACAAGAATTTCTGCTGTAATAAACTCAAAATCACAGAATTAAATCACTCAGAGCTGGCAGCTCTGTGCTGTCTCTGTCCCTGAATGGAAAACCCCCATTTTCCATCATCCATCTCTTTGGAAGTAACTGCAATAATTCAGGTGATGTGTCTTTTCCAGCAGCCCACGGTGCTTTGCTTGGCAGTGTTTATTTTTACACTTCCTGAGGGGTTCTCCAGAGGCATTGGGAAAACAAGGATGCAGGGAATGGGGTGTGATTGTGTCCCTCCTTTGCAGTGTGCCTTCAGGACAGTGTGCTGGCCTTCTGGAAACATGGCATGCAGGGCAAGAGCTTCAAGTCAGATGAAGTAAGTGATCTCCAGCTTAATTCCTCCTGTTCTTTATTTACCACTGGATCCTTTGGCTTTTCTCTCTGCTTCCCAAGTGAGAATATTCACATTCTGCAACGCTTAACATCGGTTTATCCATTTCAGTCCTGTGCTTTGCATTAAATTGCATCTGAATGTTTCTTTCCTTCCAACTCAGACCAGTAAATTTCCTTTTGTTGCTGAAATGGATCTGAATATCTGCATTTTTCTGCAGGTGACCCAGGAGATATCTGATGAAACCAGGGTTTTCCGCCTGCTGGGCTCAGACAGGTAATCTCCCTGCAGAAACAGAAACCTTTTGTTTTATTTAAACCAGCTTTTCTAGTTCCCAGCTGGGCCTGGCTTCCAGCCCAGCACAGCTCTGTCTGTGGGCACCAAGTGGCAGGGACAGAGATGCTCTTGGCTTGCAGGGTGCCCAGTGCACTTCTGGAAAAGCCTTCTCCTGGTTTTGGATTGTCCTGGTGAGCTGGGAATTCTCTTGGCAGCAGGCAGTTAAAAACAAACTTGGCTGCTCTGGAAGTAGCAAAGTAGAAGTCACTCAGGTTTTAATCAGTGCTCCAAATCCACACATTCCCTGTAAGATCCAGCTGATCCCTTCCAGCTGCACAGGTGGGAAGAGGTGCAGCTGTCCCCAGGTTTGCAGCAGAAGCTGCCCCAGGTTGGACACATTCACTTGTGGATTCTCAGCCAGCCAGAGGGATAAGTGTAGGAATAGACAGGGATGAGTCCAGCAATCACTTCCAGTCACAGAATCCCAGGCTGGTTTGGGTTGGAAGGGACCCTAAAGCTCATCTTGTTCCACCCCTGGGCAGAGCCACCTTCCTCTAGACCAGGTGGCCCAGAGCCTTTAGCACCCCCCTGCTTTGGAATCCCTGATCCTCTGCTCCCTCATCTGCATCCCTCATTTGGAACTGCCAAACCCTTTGGCTTGTGTTTTCCATCTGTGTACAAATGGAGCAGGAGCTTTTCCTGCCATTCCAGTGAGATTTGGAATCCCCTGTTCACCTTGGATCACTCTAGAACTGCTCAGGCGCAGAGTGAGGATCAGGGACAGAGGCTGTTCAGAGACTTCATTTGAAAACTCTGAGGAAAACAAAAGGCAGAGACAAGTTTAATCCTAAAAACAAGAGGAAGAGGTGCAGAGAAATGCTCAGCATTTGGGAGGGAGAGGGGAAGTCAAGGCCCAGCAGTGGTCAGTGTGCCAAGACAGGGAGAGAACAATTTTGCAGAGTGGCCCACAGGAACATGATCCAGCAGGACAAAGGCAGAGATGGTGATCCCTGTGAGCCCATGAGGTGATAAATATTTAGCAGGGAGAATTGTTGAGGTTGCTGATCAGATGTAGGAGGGATAAACATTTGGGCTGCAGATGATGGGATCATGGAATTACAGATGGGGTTGGAAGGAACCTTAAAAATCATCCAATTCCAACCCTTCCACTGTATCTTGTCCTTCAGTGTTTTTATCAGAAGTGATGCTAGAAAATGAGGGAACTGGTTAAAGAATGAAACACCCAGGATATTTGGAGGAACTTTGACCTCCAATCTGTAGAAACCCCTGAGTTTCCTCTTCAGGAATTACACCAAGGGCTGGTTTTTACCCCTGACTGTGAATCCCGTTTGTGTTTGGTTGCAGAGTGGTTGTGCTGGAGAGCAGGCCCACAGAAAACCCCACAGCTCACAGCAACCTCTACATCCTGGCTGGACATGAAAACAGTTACTGAGCAGCACTCACCCAGCAAACAGCAGAGGGACCCAGGAGCGCCAGGAAACCGGGACTTGCCCTTTCTTGTCTTGGCAGTGGAATTGTGTTGGTTTTTAGGGTGGGAATCAATCCATTTTTGCAGCTGGGAACAGCTGGTTCTGTCTCTTGCCACTGTGTGGTTGGTTATATCGAGTTTGCTTAATAAAAGCTGAGATAAAGAGCCCTTTACTCGTTAGTTCTAGGGAAACAGAGCCTTGAAACATGTTCTGCAGTAAAGGTGCCATAAACTGTTAAATATTCCCTTCCCTTGGATTTTCCTTTTATTCTGTAGATACAGATCTAGTGCTGGCTGTTGCCCTGTTTTATACTGAGTCTTATTCTTAATAAAACAAAGATTTGTGTAGGAAGTGAAAGTATCTGCAAAGCTTTTTGGTTTTAAATCTGCCATTGGGTATGGCTTTGTATAATAGATTATTTAATCCTTATTTATTAATCTGCTGCTAGGATGGGGTAATGTCTAACTTTTAGCAAAGGAAGGTTGCAGAGCAGCTTACTTTTTTTTTTTTACAATTGTATAAAGATTTGATTATTCTTTTTTTTCCTTGTAGGGATGTAGTGCATTACTGAGGGGTGTGTTACCGTGTTGGGTGATCCTGTATAAAAAAAAAAAAGCCGTTTTGTACAACAAAGTATTTTGTACTGATTTTTCTGCCTGCAGAATTGCCATAAAAGGGATTTTCTTACTTCCTAGACGTAGGGTGTGTGTACACAAAGTAGAATATTGATATCAGACTTGTTGCTCCTGGGTGGCTTTGTACAATATCCATGTGTGCGTGTGTGTGAGTGTGAAGTTGCCTGGCAGTGTGTATTTTTTATATATATATTTATACATATATATATAAAAATGTACAAAACATATATGCTTTATTTTCATAAATTAGGGATAAGCCTTGTGACATGAAGTGGAAACTGTAGCAGGTCATCATCCTTAATGAATGAAAGTATCATGTATCCGACTGCCCACGACGTGTGGTTTATTTATGCTATTCCAGAGGGGAGCCTGGAGCCACAGCTGAGCCTGAGCAGCATTCCAGCTGCTGAGCTTTGGGAATGGCTGCTGCCCCAGCTGGGAGTATAAATAAACATGATAAGAACCAGTATTCTGTATCCAAGCTTTCATCACCTGCATTTTATTTTTTTCCTTTCTCTTTCTCCATTGAAGAGTCCCATCGGTTCCTTTTGTCTTCCTCATTAATTAAAATTCTTGAGGTACCATTAAATATAGACTGACTCCAGGAGAGCATCTGGTTTTACTACCTCACATTACCCTGCTGGCTTTGATGTGAACACTCCTCGGGCAGGTGCAGTAGCAGCTCAGAAACATTGGAATTGAAGGGGTTTATTTTTTTAATTAAATGCCTGTTCAGCTCCTGAGATCTGCTGCCTAGGAAGGAGAGGCTGGAATTCCCAGGTCATTTGAGCAGAGCAGGAAAGGTGTGTGAGAGCTGGGAGTGCTTTGGTGCTGTGTTGGCTCCGTGATCCATAATTTAACACGGAGGGAATTGTCTGGGCCCACGTGATGGCTCAGGGACGGCTCCTTACTCAGGACAGCTGCAAGTTGGGAAGGTCCAGAGGAGAAAACAGCCCTGCACACATTCAGCATTTTAGCCACTGTCATTCCAAACTAATTCTTACTGACAGCCAAATCAAGTCAAACTTTTCAGTTCTGACACTGTGTCAAAGCTTAATAATTAGTAAGTGTACGGATAAAATTCACAAATCACCCCACAGAGCATGAGAAATGTGCTTTAAGGGTGGTCAGCTGGAATTGGATCAGCAGTATTAAAAGCAGGAGGACGTGTGATTTTTGTCTTTTAATAGAGTTCTCTAGTATTGAAATTACTTCTCCACCTCAAATGGTGCCACTCCTGGTCTTTAAAACAGAAATTAAGGTGAAGTGAAGCACCAGTTGTAGATATTGTAGAGCAAACACTTTTTAATTTACCTCATTCACTACAGAAAGTAATTTCAGCTTCATCTTTGAAAACACTTAAAGGAGATCTCTAAAAGACTAGAGAAACCTGTAAATAAAATTGGAATATTTATGGGGAATAACTGGAGTAAATAACTCTTAGGTCATGACACTGTCATGCAGAAATAATGAGCTGAAAGTATTTTGTCTTTGACACGAATGGCTGGTGTTTTGCTGGATCATAAAAAATAAACTTAGGAAAATCCTCGTTGAAGCAAACCTTTTTTAGCTGTTGAAGCATTTCTAATGGCATGTTGTGAAATGCTTTCTGCTGGTTTCATAGACAGTGGCATTTTTTTGGCATGATCTGCAAGATGCTGTTTTCTAGTGTAAAACCTCACTTTTGTTCCATACCACAGAGCAGATTTGTGTGTTCCATAGTCAACCCAGCCAGCCTCGGTGACTCTGACCAGTATAATTTGTGTTTGACTGTTGAATTTAGTCTGGTATTGCCTATATCTTTGTTTTTGTGGAATTTAAACCAGGCTTGAGAAAGCCTAACAGAGGGAGCTTGGGGGTGATGAAGCAAAAGCTTGCTCAGCCCCTCCTTCCTTGCTCAACATTTATCAAAATTTTAATTATTGGATGCACGACTTGAAAGCCTTAAAACAGGCTCCCAGAGCTCTTGGAAGTACAAACAGCATGGGAAGAGCAGTCTGTGGATTAATCTCTTTGGATTTCCTAACCAAGTTCCTTGCAAGTGAAAACTACAGCTGGAATTGTGCTGACATCTCTTTAAAAAAGAAAGGTACAACACATCAGGGAGCCACGGTGTCTCTGGATGGAAAGGACAAGACTGGGAGACTCTGAAATGTGTTTTTTTTACCTTGTTTAGTCGTTAGGTGTAACTGAGACTCATAACTGCACTCGTTCAGTTTGTGTAACCAGGCTTTGTTCCACGGGAATTTCTGTTGCAGTTCAGTCTATGCCAAATAAACTGCTTTATTTGATCCGTGGTGTGGTGACTTGCTGGGAACAATACCTTGTCAGAGGGATCTCGGGAGAATCCAGCCGCTCTCCAGGTTTTGTGGCTGCTGTGGGAAGGGCCTGGCGCCGCTCTTCTCCATCCTCCAGACTGCTGGGAGTCAGCAGCAGCTCCCAGGGGCAGCACAGGAGGGAGAAATCAGACGAGCAGGGACAAATTATTCCTGACCCAGCCCTGCTCCCAGTCACCTGGGAATACCAAGGAACCACTCAGGAGATGTTTGGCTGGAAAAGCAGAGGCTGGAGTTTTACCTGGGACCAGAGCAGGGGCTGGTGGGTTTCAAAGGGCTGCTTTGAGTAGGAAAACACTCGGCTCAGCCTCGGCAGGATCTAGAGCAGTTCACATCTTGTCCTCACACTTTGGTTGTTTCAGGTGCTGTATCCCAGATCTTCAGGGATCTGCTGAGGTAGAGGGAAAAAGAGGTTGAAAAAAATAATATATGTGCCTTTGGATAACACCAAGAACTGCCAGTTACTGGCAGTTATATTTATAAATAAATATACAGCAATATTCCTCCTCTGCAGGAGATTATCATCTATGGGGGTCAGTCTCAGAAGGTGGAATGTGAGGACTGCACATCCCTGATGAATGTGGCTTGGGAAGAAAAAGAATTAGTGGATCTTTGTTCTGAGCTGGGAAGCGCCTCAGGAAAGGACTGGGGAGGGAGGAGGCAGGAGATGGAGTGAGGTGCCCACATTTATATTCAGATCTAATATTGAAAGCAATTACCCTCACAAAAGGCCACCTTGGTCGAGATGAGGAGAGGAATGAGGAGCCAGGGACCCAGGTGGGTACACCAGGAAAGAGAACAGGATGGGCAGGGATGGAAAAGCTGGACCGAAAGAAGGGTCCGGCTGCTGGCAGGAGCCCATTCAGTGACAGAGACCTGAGATAATGGAGCCGTGCAGTGGGAAGATGTTCCAGGAAAACCTCCCGGTGCCAGAGGGGAGTGCGGGCGCTGCTTGAGGCTGGCAGACCCTGTGGAAGAGTCCTTGTCCTCTTCCAACCCCGCCGGAAAACGGAGTCAAACCTAGCGATCCTCTGGAAAGGCGGAGAGGGGCAAAGACAGCATGATCATGGCAGGGGGCTTGGAGCTGGATGCTCTTTAAGCTCCCTTCCAGCCCAATCCATGAGTGGTTCTGTGGCTCCATGAAGCCCGGGCGGATCGTCAGGAGCGGAGTCAGCGTGTGGCCCCGGCAGCTGCCATGGGGATCCCCCGCTCCCCCTCCCTTCTCCCTGGGGACCGATCCGGCCGTGGCGGTGTCCCCGGGGCGGTTCTTGGGGCCGTCCCCACCGGGGAGACTCCCCCGCCCGGGGCCCGCCCCGGCTCCG